TCAAGGGAGATTAGTGGAATTTTTAAAATCTGAAGCGAGGCTAGTGAAATAGTTAGAAACCTCAGGGAAGGTTTCTGAAATTATCCCATAATACATTAAGAGGCTAACTTACTGCAAACATGACACCTTTTCTAGTTTTCTTTTGCAATCAGTCACAAAGTAAATGTATTTTTTTATTTTTATTATTGCTACACAATAATAAGAAGCAAATTTTACATCACATTGTTTTTACCAATTTTTACTCTTGCACGCTCGTGTTTGTAAACTGTTGGTAAGAGTCATGTTTACATCTAACTCCGAGCAATGCCCAAACAAAAGAATCAACAAACTAGTTTTTGGCCAAGGTTTGTGGAGGGTCCTTGGCAATGTGAACTCTCAAGGCAAGAAGCACAGATTGGTCATTGCTACTGTTTTTTAATGCAAAATTGGAAATAAAAACTTAGCTGCGAGTCAACATGGCAACAGAATGCTAAGAAAAAAATGACAGTCAAAATTTTCTGTGATTTTGTGCAATTGAGCTTTTCGGCTTGAAATGGTTAAGGTTTAGAGTTAAAATTTTTTACCTTTCTTACTTCTGACTGTGATACTTCACCAAAGATATAATATGTTAATTGCAAAATCAAATTTTAAGTAACAAAATTAGAATTAGTATCACAAACATCTTAGACAATAATAATTTTTCAGACAATAAGTAGCATGTAATACAATAGTGATATATATATATATTGATTACCTTATAGATATGGTCTTACATGTAATTATACCAGTTGTAGCCCTTTTAGTGTTGTCCCAACTCGATGCATGATCACAATGAGCCAATTTTGAAACCCAAACCCAGCCCAACACACAGGAAATTCAAAGCCCTTAATTTCTTGGAGCGAAAGGCCCGGTCTCAGCCAAGCCTACTGGATACGGCACCGATACAAAATAATTACCCAACCAGAACAAAGCAGGTTGGGGGATATATCATTGCAAGAGATAAGAAAGGCAAACTGATTGGGTCATGGGCATGCCCGTCAAAAGTATGCAGAAAAGCAAAAGTGGAGGAAGCATCAGCACTAACAGCAGCAATGGTTCGAGCAAGGATTGAAGGCTGGAGAAATGAGGAATTTGAGACAAATTGCAAAGTGGTGGTTGACAAACTTGGTGAGGAAACTGCGGAGGATGCTCAAATTTCCACCATCATAAAAGATATTAAACAACTAAGTTTAGCTTTTGATAAGTGTTGTTTCTCCTTTACTAAAAGAGAGCAACCATGTTAGTCGTAGATTAGCAAAATTTGCTGATAACTTGAAATTTGAGACTGTTTGGAAGACTGATATTGAAGAGCAGTTGCTATAAGTTGTATGTTTGACTATTTTTAATCAATGAAATGCTGCCGCTTTTGAGCAAAACAAAACAAAAAAAAAGACAACGAAGTAGAAGCTAGGAGAGTTGGGATAACTACAAATCTCACAGAGAACGTGCACCTTTAAGATGTCCTTGAATGGAGGGCACTTATTGTAAAAGAAAGATTTTTTAAACGGAAGTAACATTTTTCTGTAAGATGCTTCTGAAATTTCTTTTCTGACGTTGATGTAGTGAAAATTCCATCTCTGCATCGTCATTATCAAGTCAGGCAAATTTAGCATTTGTACAAATTGTTTGACTGAGTCAGTTTACAGTTTTCTTCAATGTCAGTTGTCTGGCCTGGACTCACTGCTTGGTGTGTCACCATATCGATGATTGTGGAGGGCCTTTTTGTGGCTTAGGAAACATCATAAAGTCATCCAAGATGCTGAAAGAGGCTAATTGCTCCGTTTGTATTTTTTTTTCTTCTAAAGAAGATTCTCTTAATTAAGTGGTAATATAATCTATGATAATTGTATCTGGCACATTTTCAACTTCTGTTATAGTGCATAATCCAAGTTGCAAAATTTGTAGTTGGGATAATTTTATAAACCTCCCTTTAGGTTTCTGACAATTTTGCGTAGCATCTCTTATGTTTTGAGTGCTGTAATAATGTAAACCTCTATCACAATAAGTGATATTAAGGGCCTGTTTGGAGTTACTGTAGTTTATTGAAAAGTACTTTCTTATTGGAGCTTTTAATAAAAGTATTTATCAACTGCTTAAGTGCTTTTAAACATATTGTAGGAGACATAATTCAATAAGTACTTATTGTATTAGATAATGTGTAATTTGAAAATTTTTAAAAGTGTTTATCTCTTTATTTGGTTCATAATATAGGATAAGATGATTAAATTTGATGTTTTATTTTTTAAATCACAAAATTTACTCTAAAAGCACCAAATTTGAGTTTTTACTAAAAGTGTTTTGAACACCAAAAGCTCTATTCCTAATTTTATGAGATGATATTTTCCAAACACTTTAAAAGTACTTTTAGCACCTAAAAATACTTTTTACCAAGAGTACTATAGTCCCAAACAAAGCCTAAAAGGTCGTGGGAAATGTAGGTATGTGATATCAAAATATTCATAGTTTATTTTAAGGGTGTAAATGAGTCGAGTCGAATCAAGTTTTGATTCAATTGAATCAAACCTCAACCTAAGTTTATGAAACTTGAACTCGAGCTTGAGCTCGATGACCTCAAAATATAAAGCTCGAGCAAGAGTTTAAAAAAATAAAAAATAATTATTTTATTTTTTAAAAAATAAATAAAATAATAAAATTTTTAACCAATAATAAAATATTAAGGATATATACGTAATTTTATTATTAAAATAAAAATAATAATATATATATATAATCGAGTTCGAGCTGCTGGTGAGTTAACAAGTTTAATATTTTTGAACTCGAATTTGAGTTTGAATTCGACTTGATCAGCTCGACCTCGATGTTAACCGAGCTCGAGTCGAGATTGGACTCCGATCACACGTGACTCGATTCATTTGCAATCTTAGTTTACCCTTTTGAGCTAGACACGAAAATGAGTTATATTTTTTACCCAAACTTGGCCATTTAAATGTTTCAAAATTTGGAAAAAGGAATGGCCCTAATTGCAACCTATCCTTTACCTACTAATTGCAACTTTTTTGACACACTATTTATTATTTCTTTTTCCATCTATGGCTCAAAAATAGCTTTATTGTGCATGACATGGATTCAGTAATGACTCACTATGAAAAGGATTACAAGTCCTTAGGTACCCATAATGGGATTGGTGAATATTGTGAGATAACTTTATTATTACAAATTAAGGCCGATCAATTAGATGCAAAGAAAAGAAATAAGAAAACAATTATTATAGCATTTTTTTAACAAATGTCCTATGGGCATTCGTTAAGACACATACATTTCATCCAACTTACCATATATATACACACACTAATAATTACTACTTTCTCTTGCATTTATACACTTTCTCTAGTTAATCTCCTTGCATTTATACACTTTTTTTAATTAATCTTATATAATTTTAAGGGCAAAAAACTCCAGCGGCCATTAAACTGTTGGCTGGATCATGTTTTGACCATCAAACTATTTTTTGTCAATAATTGACCACTAAACAACTTAATCAGTAAACTCGCAACCATTTCGTCGGTAATTGCTCTTAATTTCTGAAATTAGCATTACATGTGGCAAAGTGCAGGGTCAATTTTGTCCAACAATTTTTCGACCGTTTACTTGCATAAACCCATCAACTGATAAGGAAAAAAAAAGTGCAAGCCAATTAAACTAACTTCCATTCTCAAAATTCTCAGCCACTGCTATCAAATGATCGTTGTCAAGATCAAGAGGCAACCTCAAATCAAGTTTTTGCACGTCAGCCCTGCTATGACTAATGAATTGAAGCAAGCCCTCTTTACTACTGCCATCGTAGACCAACTTAAAGAAACAGAGCCCCCTGCTAATTTTAATAAAACCCCATCCGCTAGAGTCCTAGAAGTCCTCAATTCCACTTCTTCCACTTCTTTGAGAGTCTCTAATCCCTTGATAAATGCTGAAAAAGACACGTTATCTCCCACGAACTCACAGCTTTTCAGCTTCAATTTCTCCAGTTTCTTGCAATTCCTCCATAGAAAATTGAGGCCATAATCAACCCCTTGAGTTCCACACAGGGAAAGAGAGTAAATTGAGTTTAGCATCAAAACTGGAGCGAAGCCATTGTAGCTGAACAATTCGGTTTCACTTCCAGTTATAAAGACCGAGAGGTCTTTAAGAGGGCGGAGAAGTGCAATCCACTGGAAACAGAGAGGTCTGGAGAGACTGATGGGGAGCGAAGAGAGATGAGGGCAAGAATTGGAAAGGGAAAGCAGAGAGAACCCAGAAACGAGCTCAGCCAAGAAGCGGAGGTGACGGAGGTTGGGGCAAGAAGAGGCGAGGGACTGAAGGAGGTGATGGGAGAAAGAGGAGGAGGAGGAAGAAGAGGAGTCGGTGAGCGATAGAGAAGAGAGATAGGGATGGTGGGAGAGGAAAGAGGAGAGAGAAGGAATGGCATGGGGAGTACCGATGAAGGCGAGAGCGAGAGCGACGGTGGAGGAGCAGAGCAGACGGAGCCACCGCTTCGAGACTAAGAGACAGACACACTGCAAAAGATTTTCCCTTTCCTTCTCTTTGATGGTTTAATGAAAACTGAGTTATAGGGTCAGTAAATTGTTAGACAAAATTGCCCTTACGCTTTGCCACGTGTAATGCTAATTTCAGAAATTAAGAGCAATTACCGACGAAATGGTCACAAGTTGACTGATTAAGTTATTTAGTGGTCAATTATTGACAAAAAATAGTTCGATGGCCAAAACATGATCCGGCCAATAGTTTAATGGCCGCTGGAGTTTTTTGCCCTAATTTTAAATATAATACGCGAAATACATCTTAACGAGTGCCCATAGGCACCAGTTAAACAAATCTATTATTATATAGGGCATAATTGCCTAGTCTACTAGTTAAATGCTATTCTTACTTGGCCTAATCGTGTTGAGATTTTTCTCCGCATTGCAAATTTATAACTGAGACAATCAAGAAGGTTGCAATCTTGCTTAGAGAAAATGCATGCACCATTATGTCCCTGAACAGAGAGGACTCATGTACTGACGCTTGATCTTTTTCAGCGCAACAAGAACATCTTGTATGTTGCTTCTCTCTCTTGGAGACTCCATCGTGCAGCCCAGAGCCACTTTCATGATTGAGGCTATGCAGCTTAGCTTTTCAACAAAGTATTCATCACTTTCCTTTAGCAAATTAGCATCGATGACATTAGCTAATCCATCAGGTATTGAATTAGCAACCCAGTTCTTCAGGCTCAATTTTTCACCAAACATTTCACTGTTGGGATTTGTTCTTGTGAAGACTTCCATCATCATAATTCCAAAACTGTAGATGTCGCATTTTGCTGATACCAATCCTTCCAAACCATACTCTGCAAAACACATGTAAATTCATCATATGTTCTTAAATTGATTGTATTTTTTTAGTTTGGAATTTGCAACAGCAAACAACTGAGGAAATAATACTTTAGTTGTACGAGAAAATTGTTCACCTGGTGCGAGATAGCCAAGTGTGGCTAGTGTTTCGGTGTATGTGATGCTGTTTTTCTCGCCCAACAACTTTGTAAGGCCAAAATCACTTAGATGGGCAACCATGTCTTGATCCAGCAGCACATTACTTGGCTTCAGATCACAATGAATTACTGGAGTTGCATACTCACAGTGGAGATATTGCAATGCACAGGCCACATCAATCAATATGTCCAATCTCTGCATCAGATCCAGAAAATAGTTGTGTGAATACAACCACTTCTCGAGACTCTCATTAGGCATGAACTCAAGCACTAATGCCTTAAAGTCAGGATTAGAGCAACTACTGATGACTCTTGTGAGGTTTCGATGGCGAAGATTGCGCAACACCTCACATTCTACATCAAAACTCTTGAACGCTCCATCGACTTGTAAATTGAACACTTTAACAGCCACAGCCCTTCCATTATCAAGAGTACCTCTATAAACAGATCCAAAGCTTCCAGCCCCCAACAAATTGCTTTCATTGTACCCATTAGTTGCTTGTAGTAGTTCAAAATATGAAATTCTTTCTAGCATTGCAACTAAGGATAAATCTGCTCCGCTGGAAAATTCATCTTTCTTTCGATATCTCAAGTAAACAAATCCAAAGGACAAGGCTCCCACTGCTATTATTACCCCAAGTGAAATAAAAATGGTTCGATGCACTCTTTTTGTTCTTGATCTGTGAGCTGAAATAGTTGGGCATGGAGGCACAAGCAACCTTCGAGCTCCACAGAGGGCTTGATTTGAAGCGAAGGATTCGGCAGTACAGTTTTTAAATGGCCCTTTGGATGGAATTTCACCACTCAAATTGTTAAAAGAGAGATTTATATATTTAAGATACCGAAGGTTCTCCATCGACATTGGAATTGATCCAGAGAGAAGGTTATGTGATAGATCCACTGATTCCAAGCTAAACACCTTACCAATCGATTCTGGGATTGATCCTTGCAATCTGTTGTGTGCTAAAGAAAGATTTTGTAGGTTCTGCATATCTCCAATTGAGTCAGGGATGCCACCTGAGAACTGATTGGTTGACAAATCTACCCAATTTGCCATCTTCATATTCGTAACAACATACGGCAAAGATCCACTCAGCAGATTTGAGGAGAGGTCAAGCATCAAGAGATCTTTTAGGGTCCATATTTCCTCTGGTGGAGCAGAATGTAGTTTGTTGTAACTTAGGTCAAGATGCCTTAGGGAAGTAAGATTTCCAAAGCACTTTGGAATTGAGGCCATAAATTGATTTTGTCCAAGGTTCATTGTATCCAAGTTGTGGAGAGCACAAAGAAAATGCAGGGGAACTCTGCTAATTAGTTTGTTCATACTAAGATCCATTCCTTGAAGCTCTCGCAAATCTTTTATTGTAGCTGGCAACGACCCAGTTAAGTCATTGTTTGATAGATCTAATAGGATCAAACTTGTCAAGTTTCCAATTCCATCAGGAATGCTGCCCTTTATTTTACAATTCGTTGCATTTAGTTGTTCAAGGGAAGTTGAAAGATTACTGACCGATTCTGGAATGATCCCATTCAATGGATTGCTACCCAAGACCAATATTGACAAATATTTGCATTTTGTCAGTGAAGTGATGAAGCTCAACTCTGGAGATGAGGAGTCGCTCACTAAAAGGTTGCCGCTTAGCTCCAGCAGTTCAAGGAACCTCAGGTCTCCCACGGAAGTGGGAATTGGACCTGTGAACTTGTTATCACCAAATTCTATGCGACGGAGATTAGAAGAATTTGAGATTGAACTAGGTAATGCTCCAGAAAGGTGATTAATGCCGAGATCAAGGTATTCTAAATTGGGAAGCCTATAACCGAATATTGATGGAAGATTGCCTGATAGTTGATTTTGTAAAAGTGACATCGCGCTCAACTTTGAGAGGTTGAAGATCTCCATTGGTATGGAACCAGTTAAGCTATTGAATTGTAAGTTGAGTTGTTGGAGAAAATACCAGTTACCAATCTCTCGTGGTATGACACCTGCCAAAATAATATTGAGCACATATATTAAACCATATAAGTGTCTAATTTCTGTCATTGAGAAAATTGTCGTACCTGTTAAGTTGTTGTATCCAAAATGTTGCCATTTAATCATAGTTGAATTACCAATCTCTTTTGGAATTTGACCTGCAAAAATGAAATGGAATAAATATCAACAAGTTGAGATCTTTGATGGATGTTTTGAAGAAAAGTAAATGAAAAAATTAATGGGCCAAAAGCTGGAAATTGGCCACATCCCGGCACCCCTCAACATTTTGAAATTGGCTTGTTTCGGAATCAAAAAGGCATTTTAAATTAAATGCATGTCAAAATTAATTTTGTTTTCCAAAAATTTTTTTTTGCTATTATGTAGAGCCCTAAGAAAATATGAATATGTTTTCGCCATTAACTTGTCTATCAGGACCATATTCTTATCTACTGCATATATCCCTTGTCTTCCTAGCTGTAAAGGAACCAAAATTCTGAAAATCTTTGGTAACAATTCTTTCCTTGAGGCAGCATTTTGAGAATTCATTCGGCAGAAAACAATCTTCAGCTCTAAATTTTTCTTTTATCTTTTGCCGTTTGAGTTGGGATCTGGAAAGATAGAGTAAAAATTGTGCAAGACATGTGCTATTTGGCTTTGTCCATATATGGTGAAAGAATTAATTAGCAAGGGTCTTACCTTCTAAATGGTTGTGACCCAAGTACAGCTCCTCAAGCTTCTTCAGTGCTCCAATTTCTTTTGGTATGGAACCTCCAAATTCGTTGTAAGACAAAGACAGCACTCGAAGTTCTGAACATTGAGCTAAATTACTTGATGGTAATTGACCATTTAACTTGTTTAATGATAGGCCAAGAAAACTCAGTCCAGGAAGATGGAAACACATGTCACTTGGAAGAACTCCGGACAGGCCATTATTTGTAAGGTCAATGATTTGCAGCGAGGAAATGTTGAAAATCCCTATAGGAATGTTTCCTGCCAGATAGTTGTACGAAAGACTTACCTCCTCTAGCTTTGACATGTTAGAGATGGAAGATGTGAAACTATTGTTACTGAGAGACGAGACGAAGTTGAGGAAATGAACCAATCCACCAGAAACAATCTTTAGCTCTAAAATTTTTCATGTATCTTTTGCCGTTTCAGTTGGAATCCGGAAAAAAATTGTACAAGACAAGTGCTATTTTTTTTTTTTTAGAGCAAACCAACTTCTGGATCTGGATCTGCAAAAATTAACTACAAATTAACAAGGGTCTTACCTTCTAAATAGTTGTAACCCAAGTATAGCTCCTCAAGCTTCTTCAGTGCTCCAATTTCTTTTGGTATGGAACCTCCAAATTCGTTGACAGACAAAGACAGCACCCGAAGTTCCGAACATTGAGCTAAAGTACTTGATGGTAAATGACCAGATAACTTGTTAAATGATAGGTTAAGTAAACTCAGTCCAGGAAGATGGTAACACATGTCACTTGGAAGAACTCCGGACAGGCCATTATTTCTAAGGTTAATCACTTGCAGCGAGGAAATATTGAGAATCCCTATAGGAATGTTTCCTTGCAGAAGGTTGTGCGAAAGATTTATCTCCTCTAGCTTTGACAAGTTAGAGATGGAAGATGGGATAAGACCAGTGAAACTATTATTTCTAAGAGACAGGCGACGAAGTTGAGAAAATGAACCAATCCAGTGGGGTAACTCTCCTTGGAGATTGTTGCCACTCAAATAAAGCAGTTTTAATCGTCGCAATCCAACAAACTCATGTGGTAGTTCTCCATGAAAGTTGTTTGCACTTATGTCAAGAGAAACAAGAAATGAGAGATTTCCCAGTTGTGGAGGGATGATGCCTATAAGGCCCATGTTTGAAATGTCCAAGGCAGTCACTCTACGATGACGAGAGCCACAAGAGACTCCAATCCAATCGCAGACCGAAGAGCCAACAGACCAGTTTTTGGCCAAGATTTGTAGAGGGTCAACCGAAATGTGAGCTCTCAAGGCAAGAAGAGATGACTGATCAGTGGTAATATTGGTCGGGAACATGGCTAAGGAAGCTGAAAGAAAACATAGGAACACAAGTCCAAGTGGGGAAAGGTGGTGAAATTTCTCCATGGCTAATGTTTGCTGCGTGATGGGTGAGGAGTCGCATTATATAGCGGTCTCAGTAATATTATGGCTAATGTTTGTAAATTTGATTTCTGTTTTCAGATTAAGTTTCAATTGACGACATTGACCAACGATGTAATTGTGATGCTGATTGGAATTCTTTTGACTACTATTCTAGGGAATTTTACAGTCAAGTTAAGACTATACATCCATGTCACCATTTGCTTTATGTAAAGAGTAGAATTTATTTAGTTTCCATGGGAGAGAATCGACATTGGGGTGCCATAGCCCAAAAAGAGAGGGAAGCGATGCATGGTTAATCTATCTAAGGGACTTCAAATGTGTGAAGGAGAAAGCAAAAATGGGAAATTCGTTATTTAATCCCTTAACTTTTGTGTTAATTCCAAATCTTGCTATCAACTAAACATTCTTAATTAAACAAAGGCTTTTATATTGTAGGTTCTAAGTCTGTTCATTTCAAATTTATTAAAATATTAACGTAGCACTATTATGAGTATATATATATATATATATATTCTATTGAAGGACTGAAAGAAACAATGCTACTGACTTGGACTAGGAAACCAATTACACATAGGAAACTAACTAATCAATTGGATTCAGAATTTTTTTTCTTTAATAGGAGAAGGATGAAATTTAAGAAGTGACGAGGGAATAAGGAGATTAGAACCTAGGATCTCTATATTCTAAGGTCTCAACATTGGCCACTAAACTATTCGTTGACCAAAAACTTAAGGAGACTAACAGGCGGACAATCGACTTTGTTTTTCCTAAACTTGAGCCATAAACCTGACATGCAAACATGGAAACTACCAAACTCTAAGAAAGCCTCAAATAATGCCATATTCCTACAACTTACGATTACTGATGTATAGCTTGATATATTAAATAACTAAAGCTTGGGTGTAAGGACCAGTCAAAAATAAATTGCCAGAGTTCAAAGATGATCCTAAGTGATGAGTTTTAACATTTCGAAGTTGAACCGGACACAACCAAAAGGCCTCCAAGTAAATTGCTAAGTTGAACAATGTTGAAAAGTACATAATTTCTAACGAAAAGCAAGAACTAAAACTCTATTAGAGCTAATAAGTAATACACATGATTGAAACTTTTCCAGGACAAAGTCATTTGTCACCTTCAAATACTAAGTCTTGGTCATTATGCAAGAAACTAAAGTGATTGTTCTTCGACTATTCTGAACAATGACTTTGTGTAGAAATTTGTGATGTAATTTCATCTCATCATGAAGGAAACGCTAGTAAATTAATGATGCTTTAGCCCCACAAGTGCAAGAATAATCGGATTCTGGTTAATAACATTGATAGCACGAAAGAAAAAGCTATTTCCATCTGTATAACTTAATTTATCATGTAAATGCAAAACATCACAACTATTGCACTTCCTATATTTAAATTTTTTTTGAGATTAACGACACGTGTCCAAAAAATAAAAATCTAAGACCACTCATAACAAGTGCTTGTTGTGTACTCATGAGGCAAACCATATATTAATTTGAAAAATTTGCAATTACTAAGTATTTTGCTCTTATTTCCTTTTTGGTCAGTAAAAATTGTCTCTTTAAAACTATTCAAACAGAACCCTAATAGTAAAACTACTGTTACATGTGCGGAGTAGAAAAATAATCATCTGTAGTCTTTACCTGTTTAGGATTATACTAGGCAAAAATTTTATTTCTTTCTAATAAATATATAAAGAAAAATGATTATGAAGTTGATGCAAAAGCTGAACTTTTCAGTATAATGTTGTTGAGCAATACTTTAATAGTTTCTTAGAAAAGACAGTATGAGATTGGTTGTCTTTTGCTCAATTTTCCACATTGTTGAATATAATTTCTTGCCAATTTTGTAATTTGGCATATTGATCAAACAGTAGATTACTCAATTATAAAACGAAATTTGTATCCTTACTCTTTAATGAATAATTTCTGTAGAATTGAACCTACACCTATGACCTTGTCATATTTTTACACAAGTAATTGACAGCGACGAACAAATTATACATTATTATTGGAGAGTCTAAACCAATTCTTTTCTGCAATTAAATAAACAAAGTTTAATAACTACAATAAATAATGAAATGTAAGATTAGTTAACCACATACTACACAATGAATGCCAATCCTAGCATCAAGGAAATTACTGTAATTTTCATGGCCATGGACTCCATATAGATCCATTTTTCAGATTATTTAGTACTATGCCTTCATGAAAAAAAAAAAACGTTTTTTCTTTTTAAGTTTCTTTTGCTTTCCGGAGATGTCGGAGTTCAGAGAAAATCTCTTAGGCCTCTTACAGTTTTAGCTGCACTAGAACATTTTGTGAAGCCTTCATAGGTGTTGACTCCAGAAACCAATCTCATTGTTCACAAGTCTTCTTTCAAATTATGTTTTTTTGGATGCCAGAGTAAAGATAAATAAATAAAGAGTGACATGCAACTCTATCATTGGCACTGTGAAGAAGTGATATCTTATGCACTTTCTGAAAAATCTAACGCCTGGATCGCTCTTAATTAGTGTATTGGGCACTCATTAATCAAACTAAAGGATAAGATAATCAGTCGTCATTTGATCAACTTAATGTTATGTGGTTGTCTAACACTACATGCACCGATTAACTATGTATTTACAAATGTTGCTTCTATTCTTTGTAGAGAATTTTCCTGAATAAATAATCCATCTTATTTTTCAAAAACAATGGCGAAAGCTGCTTTTATAGTTCAAGAGTCATTAATAAAGAATTAGTTAGTAACTTAAGAAACAAAGATTGAAAATATCCTTGACGCAAATTAGTTAGTTGACAAACTTCATGGAACAGCACTGGGAATTCTAGATTCATTGCAATCCAATCAAGGCATCTTTCTTTAACCTTGGTGGGAATCTTGTTAGAATCTAAAGACCCATGATCAAAACTAATTCGCCAAAGTGATGAGTTGTTCCCTTTTTGTTTAGAAAATGTAGACAAAAATGCCCTTTGAAGAAGCATATTGGCATTCGTGTGAATTGGCCTTCTGGTTGCAAAACCGGAGAAACTGGCTAAAAGGGTCATGAGTGCCTAATTTTACAAGTTCGAGGGCTTAAAATCAGCAAAAAATAGATGAGAGACTTATTTTTACCTAAATAAAGAGTTCGGGACCAATTGGATAATTTGCCCTAATAATAATAGTACCTTTGCTTCACACGTGTCAGTATACTGAGTACAAAAGTGTAGTATTCTAAAAAGTTATGCTAGGCAAATATTACTATTTCTGATGATTAACAGATATAAGAAATTGATAATAAATTAGATGCAAAAATTGAAGTCGTTGGTATAGTGCTGTTGAGCAATTTTTAAAAAATTAAATGTAATCCTCATAGGAGATTGGTTTGTCTTTAGCACAATTTTTTGCCATTGTTACATATAATCACTTGCTAATTTTGTGATTTAGCATATTGATCAAACCTGTTAAAATACTCTGTCCTATAGCCAAATATGTGTCCTTATTCTGCCACATCTAAAGCACTATTACACTCTTTGAAATATGAAAATCCTATCGAACCTATCATATATTATTACTTTTTTGAGGTACAATAGAAGTACGATGTTGTCACATTTTTCTTCAAGTCATTTTCCAGCAACAAACAATTAAGCATTTTTATTGGAACCTCTAAACCAAATACGTTCTGCTTTCAAAATAAATAAATTAAAGTTTAACAACTAAAAATAAGATGTAAAAGCCAAACTGAACCAAGACTTTTGTGTAGACAAAACAGCATTGTATGATGTTCCTTCGTGGCAATAATGCAATATTATTAGTTAACTACATAATACATATTAGAAATACGAATCCTAACATAAATACTACAAATGATGGATGCTTTGAACACGGAATTCACTGTGGGTTTTATGGCAATGAACAAATAAAGTTGAAAGCAATTTCAGTTCTCGAACTTGCAGAGATTATTTCCGGGAAACTTCTTAGGCCTCTTAGCACTAAAACTTTTTGTGAAGTCTTCCTTCATGTACAGCAAGTCCAGAGACCGTTCTCATTGACGGCAAGTCTTCCTTCAAAGAAATTCACTTTGCTTTTCCTCACCTTTTTCTTCGTCGCGCTCGAATTCCAAATTTGACAGAACTTATTGTAAAGTGCTCACATATGTTGACTCCAGAGACCATTTCGACCACTCATCATCGTTCATCGTAAGTCTTCCTTTCAGGTTATGATAATGACTCACTCTACGATGACGAGAGCCACAAGAGACTCCAATCCAATCGCAGACAGAAAAGCCAACAGACCAGTTTTTGGCCAAGATTTGTAGAGGGTCAACTGAAATGTGAGCTCTCAAGGCAAGAAGAGAGGACTGATCAGTGGTAATATTGGTGGGAACATGGCGAAGGAAGCTGAAAGAAAACATAGCAACACGAGTCCAAGTGGGGAAAGGTGGTGAAATTTCTCCATGGCCAATGTTGCTACATGAAGGAGGGAGAGGGATTGCATTATATATTGGTCTCAGTAGTATGGATTTCGATCTATTAAAGATTTCGATTTATTAAAGAGGAAATTGATAGGGAAGACTGCAGGTACGTGGCTATCTTCTATCCTAGAAGGTGAATGGAATTGCGAACAACTGACTAAGGTTGAAACACCTTTGGAAAAACTATCCTAATGATGGAGAACACACTGTGAGTAAACTTAAAACTCTTTGTGGTGCTAATGAAAGACCCGTCATGGATCAACCATAATTTTTGTGGTGGTCAACCACTATAAATCGTGGAGAACACTCTTATGCCCTTAGATTATCTATTTTAACTCCTAAATCTAACTACTCTTGCCAAGTTTACTTGACATAGACATTAAGGGAAAAGATACATCATTCTCTAAAACACGTATGCCTAAAATCATTGCGTGGAAATATTTGTACTTGACTTGATTGCGATACTTCACTACTTCTCTAGAGCCAAATAACCCCGAAGTATTCCTATTTTGTGT